AAAAAATTTTGTTGAAGTTACTGATATTTCAAGTTCAGATGATGGAAACAGCATAGAAAATGAAGTTAGGTGGATTGATAACAAAATCGAAAATGAGGCAGATCAGATTTTTTCAACTTTAATGAAAAATATGGAAACTTTGAAAAAGTTTAAGCGTCCATTAGTTAATTTAGGAAATTCTCGCACAACTAAATATCGGAAAAAAATAAAAGCATCAGAAAATCAGAAAAAAAATGGACAAACACTTTTTCAACTATTATCTAAAAAAAGTTCTCAAGAAAATTTAGGTAGTGAGTTACAGGATATTGATAATCAAAATGAAGGAGAACTTAAAGAGAAAAATGGTGAAGAACCTATAAAATATATACCTTTTATTTAAAAAATTGAAGATAAGCTAAAAATCGAAGATCAACAGTTAACATCAGGACATAAAATGCGGCTAAAAGCAACCCAATATTATTTTCACCTTCTTGAAAGAGGACATTCAAAGTTGAATGCAAGTCAAATGGTTGCAGAAATGTTAAATCGTGGAGTATGGTTTGCACGTTGTGTTAGAAGTTGGGCTAAGGCATTCAAAAACTATGGTGATATTCCCAAAGATAATCGTAGACAATATTTTAAAGGAAGCAGTCTTATTGATGACGAAGACATTCAATTAAAAGTAGCTTCATATTTGCGCCAACACAAATTTGATGTTACTGTTAATAGTTTTTGCAATTTTGTCAATGAAGAAATCCTACCTTCCATCGGTATAGAAAATAAAACAACAATCAGGTAAAATTTAAGTTATCCATACCATATACCTATAATAATAATAATATCTTATTGTTTTATTTCGGTGAAAAAACTGCAACTCGATGGTTAAAAAAAATGGGATTTACATTTAGCCGTTATGCAAAAGGTATGTATGTTGATGGCCACAAAAGAGATGATGTTATTGCATATCAGAAAGAATTTCTTGAAACTATGGAAAGGTAATATATTTTTCTATTAATAAAAACAAAAAATAAGCTTTTTAATTAATTTTAATTTTATTTATAGGTATCAAAGCTTAATGCCAAAGTTTATTGGTGAGGAATGTGAAACTCAAGTTAATCCTGAATTAGAAGGTGATGAACGCTTACACATTTTTGTAACCCATGATGAGACAACCTTTCAATCAAATGATGGTCAAAAATCTGGATGGAGACCCAAAAATGAGCAGCCATTACGCAAAAAAGGACAAGGACGATCGATCCATGTAAGTGATTTCTTAACAGAAACTATCGGAAGATTGAAATTAAGTGATGATGATATGGATGATTCAATTCCACATGAAGCACGTGTTATAATTAATCCAGGAAAAAATTTTGATGGATGGTGGAATATAGATCAATTAATTGAACAAGTAAATTAATATATAATTAATATATAAGATAATTAAATTTAAGCTAATTAAAAAATTTCCGATTTAATCAATATAGATCAAAACTAGAGCAATTCCAATTTTTGAAAAAACACACCCGGGAATGGTTGCAGTATTTGCTTTTGATAATTCCTCTAGCCATGCAAAATTAGCTGATGACACTCTTAATGCAGCAAATATGAATCTCAATCCTGGCGGAAAACAACCGATTATGCGTGATACCATTTTTAATGGACAAGTTCAAAGTATGGTGTTTCCTGATGATTATCCAGATGAAAAACTTTGTGGAAAACCGAAGGGAATGAAAGTAATTTTACAAGAACGTGGTTTATGGGGATCTGGATTAAAAGGGTTCTGTGGTAATAAAGAGATATCATTAGAGAACCCAAGATGTTGTGCACGTCATGTTTTAGCTACTCAAGAAGATTTTCTTAATCAAAAACCAATTTTACAGGAAATAATTGAAGGACTTGGACATAAAGTTATATTTTATCCGAAGTTCCATTGTGAACTCAACTATATTGAGATGTACTGGGGAGCGGCAAAAAGGTATGCTCGGCAGCATTGCACTTACACTTGGAAAGGCTTGCAGGAAACAGTTCCACAAGCACTAGATTCAGTTCCGTTAAGCCATATCCGAAAGTATGCACGAAAATCAGCAAAATTTATGGAATGTTATCGAAGGGGTTTAACAGGTGTGCAAGCTGATTATGTATTAAAAAAATATAAATCACATCGAGCTGTTCCGGATTTTATTTTTGAAAATATAGATGAATTAATAAAGTAAGATAGTTCCCAATATGGTTAATGTGCTACTTAATTTTTAACGAATAAAAAATTAGAATCATGATTATCACGTGATTTCTTAAAAATTTCAATTTGAAATATTCGTGTAATACTTGATGATTTATTGTGTCTCCGACTATACACTTAAGAAGAACCTGGAGTGTCAAAACATATCTTTATTTGATTCCAACTATTTTTTGTCAAAAATTCTTTGTAAAGTCAAATAATATAAACATACTATACTTAGTATTTTCATTTTATAAGAAGGTTTCAAGTATTTATAACTTCTGGATTCCACTTCCAATAGCCAGATTCCTTTGTAATACGTTTAAACAAGACCTGAAGAATCAATTTTTTTTATCGTCCTTCGCTATTAAATTTTTTGTGGCACAATTAAAATAAATTAGTACAGCTATCATATGTGCAATACATATGATACCCAGCCAATAAAATACATATCTATATACAAACAATTATGTCAGTGTTACGTCATTTAAAAATTACTAGAAAATGTGAATTTTAGTTATTTATTATGGCGCCATAACAGATAATTTATTAATAAAAAACTAAAAATAATACATATGCTGATCATTATGTGATTATTCAAAAATCGGAAAGCCTGCTATGTTTATATTTATATAAAATTGTAAAATGTGATACAAAATTAACACTCACCGTTAGTGAAAATAAAATAAAAATTAATTATAAATTTAATATATAATATTTTAAAAAAGTTATATAAATACGAAAAATAAGCAATTAAAAACTCTTAGTATTTTAAATAATACCAAAAATATGCAATTTAATTATCTTACATAGTATAAAATTTTCTTAAAATTAAGCATTATAAAATTCTTACATCTTAAAACTTTACTATGTTGACTAAGCATCTTGATACCTTACATATATAAGCATTTTCTGGGGTCCTATTACAGAATACAGATGGATGTAGCACAAATTGAGTCAGAAGTAGCACAAATTGTCCATTAATCTACCAATCATTCTCAAAGCAGATGCTATACCTTTTACTCCTAAAGGAAAAGGAACAAAGCAAATTTTCTATGTGAAAGTAGTCAAACAGAACTCGAATAGTGACTCCAGCAGACCGAGCTTACCTTCTTTTAACATGGATAAAAAGAAGAAAAAACTGCACCCATTTCAAAAACTAACTTGTCTAGTACTAGCCATAAAACTCTCAAGAAACAACCAGCTACATCAGCACCCAAAACAATTAGCACTGTGATGACTGGATATAATCTGAATTTATTTTTTTTTTTTTTTGCAAGGTAGTGCAATTTGTGAGTTTATTAATTATATATAAGAATACAAAAGCATCTGTTATATAACTAATTTATTAAAACTCCAAACCAGTTCCCCATCCATAAGATTGCTCCTGTGCCCTACCATCACCTTATAAAATTCACCTATATCCTTCTATAGTTACTATTGAATTATATAGGATCACCATATTATAAGATTTCAGTATATGCTTCCACTACCCTCTAAACAAAGAAAAAAAAAAGGGTTATGTTATATTTATATATTTTTTTGTTGTTATATACTTTCCAAAATACCCTATTTCCCTCTTTAATAAATTGATTTATATATTGTCTTGCTTTTTCTAATGCTATTGACCATTGTTCATTATGTTTTAATATTTTCCTCTTTTCCAAATCATATATGCCATCCTCTGTCTGTAAAGTTAGAATCCTTTTATATACAATACGTTGATGTGCTAATGGTTTTTTTCTTAAGTCTTGTTTTTTTATACCCTTGGTATGCTCCCATTCTGCTGTTACCTTGCAACGTGGTTGCCAAATAATATTGTAAAATTCATTAACAAATACTTCTAGAAAGAGGGCTGCAATAGTTAATGCTATTCTTTTTGTCTTGACAATAATTTTGAGCTCCCTGTATTTTTCTTTTGGAAAGAAACTTCTTATCATTAAATGAATATGCGGAATGGGTAAATCAAGATTAGCATCAATAGTATGGGCAAAGAAGTTTCTGTTCCATATGAGTAATTGTTGTATATCTTCCTGACTTAATTGAATATTTTTTTCTTGTAATAAGAAGTTCTTGATTGTTTGATTACATTTACATACAGTATTGTTAGCTATAGTTATCCATTTATCACTGAGCTGTTTGCAGTATATCATATGATCATCATCTTCATTTTCTTCAAGACAAAACCTGCACTTTACATCTCCATATAAGTCATATCTTCTTTCTTTCATGATTTCTAAAGTTGGAAGCAAATAATTTAAAAGTTTCAAGTGTTTGATAAATCTGTCATTTATCATTGATGTTGTGCAGTTAGATCCTGTGTTTTTTTTAAATAATGTCCAGGTGACTTCTTCTTCTATTGTGTCAGTTGTGTCTGAAAATACTGATCTATGTGTACGATTGAGGGACCATGCTGCGTCTAATGTGGATTCACACAAATTATCTATGAATTTTCTGATGTGCCTGTCAACTCTTATACCATCCCAATAAATGTCATATATTAAATCTTTTTGTTGTGAATCTTTAATTTTGATGCAAGTTAAACTATTAGTATCATTTTTCGCTACCCTATCTGCTTCTTCATTGCCTTTGACTCCAGAATGACCTTTGACTTTTACTAACTTTATTTCTAACCGTTTGCTGTCAATAAGGTTAATTATACAACTTACTATGCTGTAGTTGTTGCATTTGCACCAAATTCTTGTTTTGTTTTTTCCATTTGTTAAATTTGTTCTTATGTAGTTGATACTATCTATAGCAGCTTGTGAGTCAGTAAGGATATTTGCTTTCTGACCTGTTTGTAAAACCAATATAGCTGACAAGATGGCTCCTAATTCTGCACGTGTGGATGAGGGCCAGTCTGTGATTGAACTACTACACTCCAGTATTACTTCGTCTTTACTATTCAGTATCACCCAGCCTGTACCCATGTATTTTGTAAAAGTGTTAGAACTATTGTTAAAGCGGTTTGTTAATGAGCCATCTGTGTAAATATTAATCATGTCAGATGGGTTAAAGGTTGATCTTATTTGTTGTAGCAACGCTATATGCTGTGTCATGGCTTCATTGTTCACTAACGTGTTTTGTATTAGAGCCGTGTCATAGTCTACCATTTGTATGTAACTGGGGCTATGCTCTACATTTTGTTGTAATTGTGGGTAGCCTCTGGTTTCTATAATGTCCTTGATTATTCTAGTATCTGGATCAGTTCGGTATTTGGATACTCTATTTATACATGTTAACGACGTGCGGTCTTTATTGAAGAAGCAACCACGGTTTTCTTTGTTGACCCTTCTGTCGTTTAGTGAGCAACCTCCACATCGCTTAATTAATTTATATGGCACTTCGTTGTCCATTCTCTGCTCACTGTCAGCTGTGGTCCAATGTTGTATCGTATGTTTACCTGTTTGAAGTTTTTTGTTAATTTGTCCAAATGTTAACGTATAATCTTGTTGCATATGGACGAATTCTTTTTTTCTATTATCTGTAGATGGTAACTTCTTTGGCATCCTGAACGCCTGTGCGTTTTTTAAATACATTCCATCATTTTCTAATCTATTTTCTGAGTCAAAGGGCGCCTTATCCGTCATATAATAGTTTTTTAGGTTGGGTGCCTTTTGTATGATATCTGTTAGTGAATTAAACCATTGCGGAGTCCTGCCTCTTGCTGGTCTTTTATTGATGTCACAGATTTGTTGCCATGTGACTGTGTCCGAAGCGTCCTGATTAACTAATTGTAATGCACCGTAGATCGACATAGATGCAGCTTTTCTTATAATGA